TTTATGCAACCAGGAGTTAATATACATTGTTACCTTATATGAGCGATATTATGCTTAACTGTAATAAAACTGCATATATCGTTGCTTCCACTTGAACATTAGAGTTTCAGGAAAAAATTTTAAAGTTGTATTTATTTTATCTGTGTTATTCTAAAAAACTAGTGCAGTTGATAATAAAATTATGGGTTAAAGGTTTTTGGTTTACATGAAATAGAATATCAATTAAATAGCTAATAGGCGGACGAAATTAGAGGATGTGGTCGTGTGCATATGAGCATGTCTCACGAGCTGTTTGCAATCACGAGCCGCACGGTGCAATCGGTACTCTTTTCAGAAACATGATTTTTTTTCTTGCCAATATAATCTTGTTTTGCATATTTTTTATCGCAAAAAAAAATTATTGAACTCCCACAAAAATATTTCGGATCAAAGTAATATTTTTGTCGCCTATAATTTTGCCAGGGGTGGTTTTGAAAATGCTGTAGCTATGTGAAAGTGTTCATACAGCAAGGTTTTTTAGAAGCGTTTTGGAGCTGAAAGCAAATCAGGTTTTAATTTTGAATTTTCTATTTAATTTTTCAGTTTCATGACGCTTCTGTAAACGAATCTTTTGAATCAGATTAAGCAAATATTTTTGCCGCTTTTCATTGATGGGAAATTTTTTGCATATTTTTTAATTTAGCCATTGTCCGATCCAGGAATCAAAGCCAGCTTCTACGGAGTGGTAGTATGCAACTCTATAATTTAAGTTTTAAGTCAATGTCAAATTTTTGTATTTTATTTTACGTAAACAGATGAGTTTGATTTGCATAAAATTTGAAATTGTGGCAGCTGTGATCGGAAATGCTTTCAAAATAATTTGAAATTGAAGTAGAACTTTGAAACTGGGGGCAACCCTCTCCCAAAATATTTTATAAATAAAGCTAACTTTAACCTCACAGTTGACATGCATATAAACTATTCAATAAACTTGTCAGTTAAAATGATTTTTAGTTACTAAGCAGATGGTAACCTTTTTTTATAAATACTTTCGAAATAGAACCTTTTAAGTCGTATTAAAATATTTCATTTAAATTGTTAATTTAATAGAGAGTGATTTTATTAAAAAGAGACAACCCTATTCAAAATAAGAAAATTTTAAAATGTTGCAATTAACTTATTAATTAAATTGATTTTAAGCTTCAGTATATTTGGTATCTTGTTAATTAATTTGATTTTGTATTTCTTAAGCTAACTATTTAATAAATTGACTTTAAATGCTGAAAAAGGTGGCTACTCCCTTAAATAAATAACGTTTATTTTAATAAAGGTTACTTAACCGTGTGAAAAATTTCTCAAAATTACATCCAGTCATTTTAGCGTGAAAGTGTAATCAATATCCACACACAATTACGAACTTTCAAATTTACGAGAATAAAAAATATTGGTAGAATTCTGTAAAGCAAAATCAATACTAATATGAGGTATACCCGCGCAGAATAGTTCCAAGTGCAGAAGACCACGTATGTGTGGAGCACTTTTGTAAATCATAAATCTTCTGGGTAGCAACCGAACAGCCATTTGGTGCTAATCAGAGAAGGCAAAACCATCAGAAATAATTTGTCCGCTGGGTTTAGGACCGGCCACGTAAAATGAGCCGCCAACGAATACTCCCAAATTTTCTCGGATGAGACCCCTTCTTCGGCGAACGAAAAAAAAGAACTAAGGGCTAGTTGACGAGGCGTCCAAGGACCTCTTCTATGAGGGCCTGGATCGCACCTACGAACGCTACCCCGCGGAACCCCATCTTTATATCAAAACTCTGCTTCGGGATTTAAATTTAAAGGTGGACAATGATCTTTGGTGCCGGGAAATTCAGCTTCTACAAAGAGATGATGGACTTCGCCGGGGGCCGAAATATGGTAGTCTAATTTTCAAGCCCAGGATCAATTTCTGTAAGAACGTAGGATGTCAAGAATATACTATACTTAAATTATGAAGGGAATACTTTTCCACTCTGTTGAATGGTAACAGTACTAAAAGTAGTGGAGAAGATCAACCAAAGTGCCCAGTCGATGACGAAACAATCGATGCACCAGCGAACGAATATGGCGAGTTAGGTATAAAAAAATCAAGGCTGAAAAGAAAGCTGCTAGAGCTGACAGACAGCCTGCTGGCTGAGATTTTCAAGTACTGCGTATCAACTCTTGTGCAAAATTTGATCAGGTGAACGCATGCTTGGCAACTGAGATTTAAGTGCGCTCTGTCTGATAAATAAGAAAAGCGGCCACGCCATACGCGGCAATTATCGCGGGACCAGCCTTTTAAAAGTCGCTTATTAGGTCTTATTGGTTGTAATTCTAAAGCTTTGTATCGTTTAAAACCTGATTTGGCATCATCAGTATGACTTCAGGTATTCACTATACACCAAAGCTTAGAAAGAATCTGTAAGAAGAGAGTCAACACTATACTTTTTTCGATTTTAAAGCCGATTTCGGCACCAGGAAAAGAAGCTATTAAAATGACGATCAGTTGCACCACCAGCAACGTCAGAATTTTGAAGAACCTCCCCGAGTAATTCAATATCAAACGGGATTTAAGGCGGGAAATTTAAAAGCGAGATCGGGTCTTACTTTTATCGATTTTTAAAATAGATCCTACTCCCTTTTCAATGCAATAAACCACATCTTTCTAGCTGCATTACAATTCTCACAAAGTCACTTCAAAGATGTAGGTATCGACAAAAGACGAAAATATAAATTGTATACTCTTATATATATATATATATATATATATATCCTTAGATATCCGAAAAGTGTTTTATTAATTTTATTTTACCATGCATAAGCTAAGTAATTATGATTTTGCTCCACACAATGATCGTATACTTACACATAACATTTAACATAAGTGAGTCTTCGATTGCCGAGTTTTGCAAGCGCGGATTGGAGCCTTCGCACTTCAGCATTGTGCCATCGTCTTCGGGTTGTGGATGGAATGATAAGGTTGAGAAGACTTTGCCATTATTTTGTGTTGTCGTTAGCTACAAATAAAAAAATTTAGATAGTTTTGATTTTGAACCCAAAAAGTATTAACGGTAAGTGGCTAAGTAAATAAATGGGTATGTGACTAATATTTGTAATCCTACGTTAAGCCGTAAAGGAGTAATAGTTTAGTTTAATTTTTAACTAGGTATGCCTAAACAGTTAATTTTCAGGCGACGAGTTGTAATTAAATATTAAGTATAATACCAGTTCATAGTAATGCTTTTACCAGTAAACCTGAGTAAAGCAATAAAGTAACTGTTATCTTATTTCAGTTATTAACTTACCACTCCTCTTTTAAAAGGTCGATTATTCTGAGTCCAGCGTATTTCCGTATCTGGTACTGAGCCCGCAACCACACAAGTTAAATTATACTGAGTGCCAGATGAAAAGACCTTCAATTTATTCGTTAGGTTTACAGATGTAGGTTTTACTAGAAAAATTACAAAGACAAGTCTTCGATTTAAATATTCAAATAAATGCTTATTCGTTATGATTCATATTAGTTACAGTTTATATCGATTTAAAAGTTCACAAGTCAGTTACCAAAGATAGCGTAAACATTAATAAGAGCTGACTATGGATGGAATATGGATTGGAATCACGCCAACAAGGCAACTTTGTTCAAAGTAAATAATACGTAGTTTAAATAGTGATGAAAAACAAGATGAGAGATTTTTAATAAACTGTTTACAATCAGAAATTTATCAAAATAAGCACTCATACGGGGCCTATGCTTCTAAGTTAAACTATAAGTGTTGTTTGGTTTTCCGGCTTTTAGAGACTTTAATGTATTTTTAGCTGTTTTTTCTCTTTTATGAGTAGGTACATAGTTATTTATGAGCGCGCAGTAAATTCACATGGATGTATGGCCCTATTTGTGTGTGCGTACGGCTACCAAAGAAGATGAAAAGGAGAACTTTATAAGGTTTTTAATGACATGGACACAGTTAATCGATTTAAATATAACGATGGCACTGGCTTAGACATGTTCAACTCGGCATTCAATAAAAGAAGGAGCGCTATCTTCAACTGGGATGAACAACTGACGCAACTTCGCAAATAATAGACAGACTTAACCCTTTCCTTTCCAAATTTTCTCGTCGTAGGAAAAAATATTCCGAGTTTAGGTTTAAATATTCTTTAAATTTGAATATTTTGAGACGTCTTCTACCAGAAGTCGGACGGTAAGCCTAGATCTTGTGTTGTGGTTAAATCTCAATACAATACTTTTCTCATTCCTTCCCGTAGCGCGTCGGATTTGACAGCTGCGAGACTCGAAGCGCCTGGGAATGCCAGCATGGTTATCGCTTCGTGCTAAATGCCACGCAATGAGGACGCAATGCCGGATGCGGTTCGTAGCCTAATGGAGAAATTTAAATAGAACAGTCTACTTATCCGATGCCATTGCAACTCCAGGCATTCAATCTGGGGCAGCTCGGAAATAAACACTCGCGGTGAGTCTCTTTTCGATGACGCTCTTAACACTAACCTAATAGTTTCTAATCGGGATAGCACTCCTACATTTAATTTTCCTAGTACTGATACCCTTAGTGGGTGGGAAGTAGTGCTTGATACAAGACTAACTAGCGATTGAAACAGTAGAGGCAGTATTATAATATATTTAGATAACTGGAGGGTATCTGATCGGCAATATTTTTCTTTATGTTTGCCCGAATCTTTCCCTTCCTTTTTGTAACCCAGTGTGGTCAGCAACAACTTTGCGAAACATAACTCTAGTGATTTAATGACCTTGGATGCTATTGGATCGGCCTTTAAAGACTCCTGCCCGTAAGTTCCTTCTGAAAGCAATACTCTCTATGGTGGAGTGCGAAAAGCTCAAATCTCAGGAAAGAGTCTCGTAAAGCTTTAAACTTAAGCTATTCCACGGGCAACTGTCAGCCTTATAAATATAGCTTGATAATCCTGGACATATTTCTGCTCTTCTATAGAATCAACGAAAGCATCCGCCAGGATGGGTAGGATCCTATCCAAGGAATATAGCAATCCTTCCTTCATGAAATAGAAAGATGAAGGGTAAACCAATAGTTCCAAGGAAACATTAGAACTTCTTTTCGCACCCATTTTCAACGCTGTAACCTTAATGAGATCTAAGCTGTAGATAGAAACGTAGCGGCACCATCCATAAATGTCGTTAACGAAATTATCACGCGGGAATATTCTCCCGCATGGGCAATTAATAACTTTCCTCTGGATCTTCCATGGCTGGAGAGCATATTCAAAACATGAATAATACTCAACTATGTTCCATCTATTTGACAAAGTGTTAAAGTAGTTTTCATTCGCAAAGTTTGTAAGGTGCTTAAGGACTTCAGACCCATTAGTCCTTCATCTTTTTTACTGAAAACTCTCGAGCGGCTACTTGTCATGCATAATTAGGCAACGGACAATTATCTATTACACAGCATGCTTAACAAAAAGGGCGCTCTACGAAATCTACGCAATAAATAGTATACGTCGGTGGCCTTCCTGGACATAGAAGGAGCGTTCAACAACGTTACCCAATGGCATTAGAGCAGTCACTCAGAAATCTGGTGATTGAGAAGACCGAATTACTAATATTTACCACAAGGAAAATATTCCTAATTTTAACCTACCTTCCCTAAATGGGCATACTCTTTCTCTTTCTCCTTGCGTAAAGTATTTGGGAGGCATTCTCGCACCGAAATTAAACTGGAAAATAAACACAGAGCATCACTTAAAAAAAGGTACTCTGTATTCCTGCAAGTAAATGCTGGGTAAGAAGTGGGACCTACGACCTGATCTTATGCCATGCATATTCTAGGCGGTGATTTGCTCAATTATTGCATACGGCTCGCGGGTTTGCTGGAAAGCCATAGATATGAACTACTTATATACATACAATGTTAGGCAGAGTAGAAAGCTGAGCATGGAGATATAGATTACTACCTGACCCAAAACATCAGTGGACATGGCCGTTTTAAAGCATACTTGCACCGCTTTAGACTTGCACCAAATGCTTACTGCGAGCAATGCGGACCAGCAGTTATCGAAGACGCAGAGCACATATTTTTAAAGTGTCCCCGTTTCAGCTCCATGAGGTCCGCACTTAAATGTAAGCTTGGTTTGTGCGTAACACCAGATAATCTGATTTCGTCAATGATAAAGAGCGAAGAAGCCTGAAAAGATGTCTGCCATATGGCTGCCCAAGTGGTTAAAGGAAAGTTCATAAAGGAAAGCCCGTTTTCTTGAAAAGTTACGGCATATAGAGGGCGAACCTCTCAACTAATATCGAAGAGCCGACATTAAACTGCTGCATCCGGACAGTGCTAGACTTAGAAATGAACTTCTTAGTGGTACAAGACAAAAAGGTGGGCAAGTTAACACCAACCAAGACAAACAGTGGAATAAAATGAACAGTAACAGACGTGGAGCTTAGTGCTCAAACCGCCTCCCGACGAAACAATTAACGGTGGTACCAGGGGGATCGGTACATAGACGGTAGGAGGTTTAGTAGGTCAAAGTCTCACACTGACGGGGTTAGGCTTTCGATGCATCCTCCTCTGAAAATAAAAAGAGTAAAAATAAAAAGCTCAGTCTCCATTGCGATTACTGTGGCGATCAGATCATGTCCGACGGAAACATTGAATGTCATCTGTCATTTGCCAACGATTGATCTATTTATTAAGAAAAGTGTTCACAGAGTGCCCTGAGGTTAAGAGAACTTTGGCTGTTGAAAGAACGTACGTACGGGTATAAACGTATCTTGTTCTCTTTCAAAAACCCAAGCATTTGCGAAAAAGCTGACTACATCTGTCCTTCGCTTCTCTTTGAGAAAAACTTCGGCACGATGTTTCCATTAAGGAAGGAGTGTCTATTTGACTACCGGGATGGCCAGTGTTTTTCAGGTCTTTGACATCAAAAACGCGTGCAAAATAATTTTAGCCTCAAAGCTGGCATTGCTATTTTTTAGGATAGCGTTGCCTGGATCAGGGCACTTGGCTGTGTAAGGATCATATCCATCAAGTTAGTGTGCATCTGAGCTATATTCAAAGCCGCATCTCTCAGCATCGGAAAAAGGTGGCTAATATTATGTGGAAAGATGTACAATTATGTAGGGTCTGCAGGAAAAACGCACCGCATTTATTATGAAACTGTAACACCTGTAACAGAAATAAGTAAGCACAGAGCTCTTGGGCGTGAGAATCCATCCTGCAAGACTAGTATTCGAACATAATACTTTTTGTCGTAGCTGTAATTCACCAGAAGGAACGGTGTGGCATCTGCTCTATAATTTCCCCGCACTATAAGTAAGTAAGTGACATTAACTCGCTGCAACTAATTAAGCTCTGGAACATCACATGCTGGGTTTGAGGGAAATAACCGACTTCTGCTGGTTTCTTTTCGAGTTTTCTTTGCGAGCTGTGGTTTTAAAACGGCCCAGCGTAAGTGCTGATTGGAATTGTTAAACTCGCAACTTCAACCAACCAACTAAACAAATGATTGGTTGTTTTGTTTTTTACCCACAACTTCTATTTATCCGTAGCCCGTAGCCCAAAAGAAGGCAACAGCATAGAAATAAAATTTGGTAGCCATATGGATACCATGAAAAGGAAAGTGATTCCTTCAGCACGCATAAAATTAATTGATGTAAAAGATGGAATTGCAAACAAGATTGTATACATGATATTATAGCTGTTAACCTACTACAACTTAAAAAAAATGATAAATTTGTAGAAAGAAGCAAAACTGAGCCGAAATTCATATAAAGAAATCTTTACTTTTAATATATTGAACTTACATAACATTTCGATGCGTATACTGCGTTCTACGGGTGGCACTAACTTAGTATTTGATGCCTGGCAGCGATAGGTATTATTTAGCGTAGCGCGTGTGATATGGGGCACCTCTAACCGATTGACAGTCACATGCCGGCCCATTGAAACGCCATTGCCTGACTCCAGTTGCATTGTCCCATTTAACCAGGTCACAATTGGTTCCGGTCGACCTGAAATTAGAAAAAAAACATATTCAGCAATGAGGTTTAAAAAAGTAGTTACGTATGTATATTAGGGTGCCGCACTATAAAATTATTTAATAATTATATTCTAAAACTTCCGCCGAAATATTTCGGCATAATATTAAGAATAACGTGAGCAGGACCTATTTGAAAATACCACCAAACATGTATGTTTTTATGAATACAATTATTTTAAAAAATATATTTTAAAAAAAATTTCATCAGATAATAGAAAAATTTAAACTTAAAAGGTTTGCATAAAATGTTTAAACGTTTTGTCAACGGAATCACAATAATGAGATTTCAAGGGTTATTTTCAAGGCGCTTTTTTGCTAACGTAAAACTCAATATTTTTCCCAAATATTTTGGCGAAGCCTTAGAATATAATCAAGCTTACAATTCCGGTGGAAAAAGCCGCATATTTTTAGCGGTGCACCCTAATGCACACATGTATGTATTTACATATATCATATAGAATTTTTAACATATGTGTATAAATATCTACGTACTACCGATTACTAGAAGAGCGCACGGTACAATTATTTGTTCACTAACCTCTAACTGGGTTATTTTAAATAAATACTGGTATGTATACATTGAAAGTAAAATGCAATGACTGACATAACAAGTTTCTAATTTTTCCCAAAACACAACTACCGCAAACTAACAGCGTAGTCATAACAGTAAAACAGATTGTTATATAAGACATTCGACATAGAGGGCCTCACTCAATACGCTCATAAATGCAAGCAGTGCTACATTTTGCCCGCACTGCTACCACCTTTCTTCATAAAATTTGCGCTTCTGCATCTGCCAGCTGTTTTTCTGTAGTTTGATGGCATATTTTTCTTCTTACTTCTATGACACTTACATAAGAAAATGCAATAATTCTGGCCCACTCAACACGCTCAATGGCAAGCTGCTGGCCCAATGCAGGAAATGAAAACCATTAGAATTATTATTATTTTAAGTAATGCGAGCGCAAAGTTCTCGATCCATTGGTGCACACACTCTAACGTACATACGACGTAACGTGTATGCGAATGCTGCGCTCGAATGACCCAAATGGCTTGAATTGCTTTACAGTGCTATGGCCACAAAGAACTGTAATAATAGTCGGAATGTATGTACATGAGGGCGGCCCAAAAAAAAAAGTAAAGTCGGAATTTTAATGCTCTCATCCCTAGAATTGTTCCATACCGAAAAAATTCACCCCTATTTTTTGTTTTGAAATCAAAAAATAAAAAATAAAATTTAGAGGTCGTTTAAAGTTTTCAATGTATTTTATATGGGAATAGAAAAACCTTTCGTGGACAATTTTTTAATACTAACGATTTTTTATTGGTTCTGTCATTGGATTTTTTTTTTGGATTTTGACGGACCTATAAATTATAGCCACTGTAGAGAAACAGTGTTTTCCGATCGAAAAATACTGTTTTATAAGAATTATATACCATTTCTAGGAAAAGTTGTTTATTTCCCATATAAAACGCATGGAAAACTTTGGGCGCTTTGAGCGACCTCTAAATAATTTTTGATTTCAAAATAAAAAAATAGGGGTATCGGTATAGAACAATCCTTATCACATGCATTTTTGGACCGCCCTAATGTATACATACGAATACAATGTTTGTGCTGGGGCGGCTGTTCGTTTTGCAATTGTGTGGGTTAGTGTTAATACCGATTTTGTTGCTGTGGCATTGTATTGCATTGCATTGAAACCGCAAGGCAGTAACCACGAGCTTACTTGATTACTTTTGCCATCACCAACGTTACCATCGCTTGGTGGCTTGGACAGTGTCAGCTGTTTTCGTTATGCACACACAATCATCAATGTTCTGTGCCTTTCTGTGCATTGGCATGGCGTGCGGTATGTCCTCGTGTTGATCGCTATAACGCGATGGAACTATTAGGGTTGGGTGTGGCAAGTTCCGGTGAAGCAAGTAAGCGAAAAAATATACGTTTAATGTCATAAATGTAATTGAGCTAAGATCTTATTTGAGGGCGAGTAGATACAGAGTGGGATGCCAGTGCAGAGTGAATGTGCGAAAGTAAAGCGAGCGCGATTGGTTAGTGTGCAAAAAGTTTTGACTTTTATTAGTTTTCAAGTGCTCTTCGGTGAAGTACATATGGGAATTATTGAATTTTTCAACTCTCCGAACTCGGCTCTCGTCACCATATTAATTGTGTCAGTCGCTGCTGATGTGCTTGGTGATATAAACTTCTACTTTTATGAATTAACAACAGAGACAATTTATATTTACAAATTTAACGGAAAAATCTGTGTAGGCTTTTTCTGATACGCAAATTGCTAGCTGTTCTATAAGGTTAGGTTAGGTTGGAATGGTTGGCAAAGAAATTCTCTGCACATATATATGTATCTATAGGCCGATATAGACCAGTTGTCATACCACAAGGAGGAACTCTCACCCCTCCCAATACGCTGTGGGTAATTTAATCAGTTTATGTGGCCAAAAGTCGCTTTTCGTACTTAAAAAAAACCCTTTTCGGCCTTGGTATTTGATAAAGCAAACTTCAAGATAAATAACGGTGTCTTTTAACGAACGACAACTGCTGCGCAAGTGATCAAATTAGTTGTCTGCGAGTGGACAACTGGAACTGATATAATCTTAAATTACACAGTGCAACACTCAAACTATGATGGGGATGAGGCCAATTTCATTAATTAAAAGAGATCAAAATACGAATAAATACCAAAGCATTTGTAAAAGTTGGTTCCCATTTCCTTATAACATCGATTTATAGTCATTAACTTAGGGTTCAAAAATAAACAAATACAATTATATTTTTTTGGTTTTGCTAACAAATTTCATACCTACATACATATATGTATATACATACATATATATAAATATAATAAAATTCGCCCATTCCCTCTCCTTTCCGCTCAGGGAAAATGTTTTTTTTCCAAGAAATTACACCTGAAAATACGAAATTACAAATTGAGATAAAAAAGAAATGGTAAATTCTTTGGTACTTTTTTCATTATTTGACCAGCTTAATGAAATGCTTTTGGTCGGATTCCCAATGTTAAAAAAACTCGCTACACTTTTTTGGCGCTATGTTAGCTGTTATTTCCACCTATGAGTCCTCTGCAAGGTCTTGAAGGAATAGTTTCCACGCATTATCAGCGAATGACTCTGCATCGCTCATATAATAATTCGCAAATAGTTCTGCCAGGCGCGGATGCAAAAGTGGCTTTTAGTTGGGAAAGTAGCGTTATTAAAAAAAAAAAAATTGGGTATGGTTTAAAGTATCATAATTGATGGCTTCTATGCTTATTTTAAATATCTTATAAATCCATCAGCATCATAGATATTTAAATTCCTCTAGGCGTGAAAACTTTAAGAGGCAGAAAATTAATTGGAGAAGCTAGGATATTATTTGTTTCTTTTATACAAAGATTCGAAAAACTATTCTCACTAGCGGAATGGTTTGTGACGTATATTTCGGGTATATCCTTACTAATATAATAAATCCGAAAGTGAGTTTTTTTGTTTGCTTTGCTTTCGCGCTTTAACTAATCAACCGATCATCATGAAATTTTGTACACTGCTTTCATTTAGCCCAACTTAATCTCGATTAGACAAGGGGGCGTGTCACTTCCCTACAAACGGAATTTTTCATACTGCATTACTCAGGAAACATTTTGGATATATTACTGGATGAGGGCTGCCACCCTTTAAAAAATCAAATTTAACTTCAATTAAGGGAGTTATTTATTTCAAAATTATATTAAAAAATTGATGTCAAGAGGCTTAAAACAGCTCTAGTTCGAATAAATTTTGAAAAGGGTTGCCACCTGTTTGAAAAGTCAAGTTAAAATTAATTATACCCAAGCTATCTGAAGAATTAAAATATGGCTGCCTAACAAAATATTGTTAAGAAACGGTTAGTTTGAAAGTTTTGAATAATCTTTAAGTCTTTCCCAAGGGTTGCCGACTTTTTAAAAATTAAGTTAAATTATTTTGAATTAAGTATTACAATTATTTTGAATTAATAATAATTAATTTAATTAATTAAGTATTACAATTATTAATTAAGTATTACAATTATTTTGAATTAATATTGCATGTAGGAGGTTTCCATCTGTTTAAAATCTCCAGTTCAGTTCAGGGGATACGTTAATTGAAAAAGTATGACAAAGAAAGTTTTTGTTTGAAAATATTTTGAAGATGGTTAAACAAATTTTAAACTTCCTGTTTTTTAGTTGAGTTTTCTTGAAATAAATTTTACTCAATAAAGCACGGGGAAATTTCGTACACTCTGCGAAGCGGGTGACGGCGATCTAGTTTAAGTATATAGACATCTTAGATCCTTCTCTGGTTCTTCAGAACTTCACTGATCGTATCTAAGGCAGAGGATTGTAGGTCAAAATATTTGCCATAACCTTTTAGCAACAAATTGAGTTTAAGTAAATTTTTGGAAAAAGGGTATAAAATATCGGACACTGGTGACACCGCTAAAACCGTAGCCGTTTGACAATGGGATACTAGTGACACTGGCAAAGTGCGAATAGATACTCCCAATAAACATTACTTAATAGTAATAATAAATTGGTGCGGAATGGCAGCGCGCTTTGCTGAGCACTACACCACAGCGGCCGCCAAGGGTAGGACTAAAGTCCGACAATCAAATCCCACCTACACCGAGTTGCATAGTTTTACTAAGTGTTTGGCAGATCTTCTCCTCCAATTTGTGGTGTCCCTCCTGATGTTATAACACAAATCGTGGGACGTGCTGTGAGAAAAATTTGTTTCAAATTTACATGGTGCTCGGGCCAGGGATAGAACCCCGGTCCTACGGAATAGTAGTATTTCTTCTGAGTAAATATGGGAAACCCAGTGTACTTTGTCAAATTTTAAAGAAGGGAGCTCCTGCTATTTGCACGAATATTTTTACTGACCACTATGCTGTGTACACTGTCAAAAGTTTACTAATTTACTCATTGGATTTTGCGCCATCGA